AACGTAATATTGCACTTCCTCCTTGAACAACGATGCAGTAACTTTCCCATGGAAGCTTGGCGCACTGAACCAGACTAAACCGACTTGACAGATGACATTCACGATATATTCTTGTGGCACCTTATAATTTCGCAGGTGATGAGAAATCAAAATAGAAGAAGAGCAACATTGTTGTCTCACAGCATTCGGAAACCCCCCCGCCCCCCCAAACCAACAGAACCTGTTTTGAAATTAAGTGGCACCTTGTGGATGTATAGTGCTTACGTGGCACGCAACCACAAGCTCAAGTTGATGGGGTGGATGGTTGGGATGTTTGCCACCCACCAAGCTTGGTATAAAAGAGCCCTGGTTCAAATCGGTGACAGACAGCGAGCTCGCATTTTCCTGCCTTGAGAAGAAACCATGAGATTCCACGTCATCTTCCTGCTGCTGGCACTGGTGGCCATGCCCTCCCTTTCCATGGGTCAAGGTAGGCACCTCATTTCTTGTATGCAAAGAATGGGGGAAAAAAAGCATTTTTCAGGAGTGGGGGGTAGGGGGGTGGGACAGCCAAATGGCAGACTTTCAGTGAGGGATGGGGTGGGGAGTTCCAGTCATGTTTTTTTTTTTGCGTTGACCTGTCTCGTGTACGTAATTCAAATATGATCGCAGTTGGACAAAATCGTTAGGACGTGTTTGTTTTTGCATCTTATTGGGTGTGACTTTTTTTCTTGTTTTCTCAATCGCCTCACAATTTAGAAAATCAACTCCTAGCCTAGCCAACGGCCGTAAGTGTCTTAATTGTGCTCATAACTGACACCTGAGCGAGGCATGTGAAAAATCTTGCAGGTGCCCCAAGGGCACAAACTCAACTCAAGAGCGCCGTCAGTTCTCGACTCAATATTATTTATGGAGCACTTTCTAACAACCGTAGCTGCATACAAAGTGCTGCGCAACATCAAGTAAAAATCCGACATTTGAAACAAAGACTTGTCGACTTGTAATTCTTCTTTTATGGCAAGTCATCAAACTTTACTGCTCTGCTCCAACGACACTCAATTCCTTCACAATTTAGGATTGGTCGCATAATCCTAATTTCAAATTGGTGGCTCCTGGACACCTCCCTGGTGTGGTGTTCAGGCATGTCACAAAGGGAGGTGAGCCCACAGATTTTTGGTCACTGAGCACCCCGCGCTACCAAGTGAGCCACAGCCACCCAGCTGGTGACCACAGCATGACCAGCACGAAAATACAACAAAACCATGCTAGTCTCTGCTGCTTTTTTTTTTTAGCAGGGTGAGCTTGTGTTGGGAGGCAAAACACAGTGAAGTGACAACCAAATAAAGTATCTACAATGAGGTCGTTGATGAACTCATGCCGACTCGATCACCGCTTGCAAAGACTTCAAAGTCATTGAATCCCTACTGTTCCCTTGGCAATCGAACAGAAATAGAAATTAGACAAACAGGTCTCTTATCTACGAGAGCAAAATTACCCAACGATACTCAGCTCGAAGCAAATACAAGACTATTTGTTTTTGACACTTTTTTGTTTGTCAACTCATGATACTCGTGCATTACTAAAATCATTGGGCCAAAGGAATAGAGACTTTCCTGGCTGAATTTTCAAAAACAATGTCCTTCTTTAACCTTATTTGGATGAGCAATAAATCTAGCAAAATTTTGTGTTGTTATGAGAGACTTCGGGAGATTCTTGAGACTCCCAGAGAAAACCTCCATGTCCAGAATGCAAATAAAATGCGCTTGCGCTAAGCCACCGCGTTCTATTTTATCAAAATCCACAAAAAACTCGACAATTTCTTTGCAGAAGCTTCCGTGGAAGATTCTGTGGAAGATTCTGTGGAAAATTCCGTGGAAGATTCCGTGGAAGATTCCGTGGAGGATTCTGTGGAAGATTCTGTGGAAGATTTCGTGGAAGATTCTGTGGATGATTCCGTGGAAGATTCTGTGGATGATTCCGTGGAAGAGTCCATTGAAGACTCCGAGGAAGATTCTAACGAGGAGCCCACGGGGTTCTTCCCGAACTAGGATGATGGGGCATATGTATTTAATGCTGTGGTCCCGAGAAGTGTGCTAAACACAATGGGATGCATCGTAATTTAACAACTGCTCTGGGCGACAAAGATATGTCGGTGTTGGTCTTAATTTGGCAGTTTTGATTGGGCTTTAAACTGACAAAAGTGAACTAATGTCACAATAAACTTTTCTTTGGCACAAAAAAAAAAGTTTCCACGTGTGTTTTATAACAGCAGTCCCTAATCCCCGGTCCGTGGGTCATTTGGTAACGGGCCGCACAGAAAGAATGAATAACTTGCATTACTTCCGTTTGATTCATTTCAGAAGCTGTTTTGTTTTGAAAAACTCTCCAATTCTCTGTTACATCCATCTACAGTATGTGTCTCTTGACGCAGGTCAAGGAGGGCTTTTCGGTCACGTGATGGGGTATCGCTAAAATGAAACCCAGGAGTGAGCAAAATGGGTAAAAAACAACATCTTTGGAAAGCTTCTTTGGGAAGGGGAAAAGGCACAGCCAGGAGACAGAAGAGGAGCCTTCGACTTTCAAGAAAAAGAAGGCTACATTTAATAGACAGTATCAGGAGTCCTGCTTAAAATATGGATTTATCTCAAGAGCGGGAGATTCCCACGCACCAGGCCCACTCTGCATAATATGCAGCGATGGCGAGTCGTATTTTTCATGCACTTTGTATTTGCAGTGTGTCTTTATTTTGACGGCACGTTTAAACGTTACCATAACGACCACAGAGTGTTGCGGCCAGATAGGACATTCCCTGTTTCATGATTCGTGTTTATTATTATGTTTAGAAAATATTAAGTGACCCAAGGCTTCACAGTTCAAAGTTCTCGAAGTTTATATTCAATCAGGATTTGTTTGATGTGTTCAGGACCCAAACCATTCAGTGATTTATTTTCCAATAGCAGAATTTAAAAATCTATTCTACAGCTAATTGGGAGCCAGTGTAAAGCTTTTAGGACTGGAGTAATATATTCTGATCATAAGAATTTTTGAAACCATAACTTTTACACTTTTATGAGTAAAAAGCTTGAGCTGACACTTGAATTTCGAAATCTTTTTAAAACCCAATATCTGTACTTCTACTTGAGGAATGAACGTGAATACTTTTGACACCTCTGAAACTAATTTAAATCCAAAGGAATTGTAATTTTAGTGCAGTGCCTCGATGTGGAAGGCCATGTAGGATTGGATTTGAAACTTGTTACCATGCCGCCATCTTGTCGCCGGACCTTCTCACTACAACGCGGCCGTCAATAAAACGGCCATCCCACCAGACAATTGAACGCAAATGGCATTGAAACTACCTCAGTGCATGAATATTGACATGTTTAAATGTGGGGATAAGAAAAGGAGGGCGACAGCGCTTGTTCAAAGTCAATTAAATAAATATCAACGGCCAACGAGTCCTACCGGAGAAAAGTTGCTGCTCGCCGGGTGTCACCTGATCCGTCGCTCGTCGGCGGGAAATAGACACCGAGTCTCCCCGGGGTCGTCGTCGCCGCCCGCTTCGTCTTTCCCTTATTAAATCCATAAGTCGCCGAGCGGAGCTGCTAAAAACTTGTGAGTCGGCGATATGCGCTCCCTCGCCGGGCTTGCGGCCACGGTGGCGGCCGCCAGCGTCTACCTCTACGTGCTCTCCACTCACCTCCCGCCGGCGGATGAGCACCTGCCGCCGTCCTCGCCTGGGGAGCCCGAGCCGGAACCCCACTACCACAAGTAAGTGCAACGAATAAGTCACTATTATTTTTATGTTATTTTTATTAGTAAAAGCAAGTGGTTCGGTGACCCAGCTCGGAACTAAATTCTGCACGTATCAATATTACCATAAATACCGATCAATAGTCCCCATTAAATCTAATTAAAATCGACATTAAAAAAATTAATTTAACAGTTTGTTGTTCTATATTTTTAAGGAAAATAGCATTGTAGTTTTATATATTTTTCTTTAACATGTGAAGCGGAATGTTAAAGTATTAGTTTGCTTTTATTTCTTGAATTACTGCACATTGAGGACCAGCGAGTGATGTTAGGAGCTGGAGTCAGCTGGGGTCCTTGTGAGTGTTCTCATTTTGCATTTGTACTTGACTATTTACCCCCAAACGGTTGAAAGGGCATCAGCAACTGCGGCTATCCTTTCCCACATGAAAGGGCATTTTCATATTTTAATTGCTACATTTTCAAAGTCCACACACTCAAGCCAGAGCTGAGATTCACACTCAGGACCTTAAGATCTTGAAACAAATAGGCAAATGTGCGAACCCATGCAATCTAAACCCAATCCTGATAGTATGGGTTTCGCATCACGCAACGCAGTTGATAGGACTAAAAAAATGTACAGTATTCATCGTGCTTGGAGCAACTACAGAGAGGATGGTGGGATACATCCAGAACAGGTTGCCAGTCAATCACAGGACACATGTAGACAAACAACCATTGACACTTGCCCTTAGGACATGCCGAGATTCGAACCCTGGTGGTCAAAATTCTGAGGCAGACTTGCTAATTAATCTTGTCTTAAATCTCAACTCTGTGGAAGACACAAATAGTCATGAGCAGAGGGCAGAAACACACACACACACACACACACACACACACACACACACACACACACTAGAATAGCCCTTGTATGTAACTTAAGCCTGTGGGCCTTGTCCAGCACCTGCTGGGCCTCTCACCAGCGCCACTTTCTATTGGTTCGCCAGGCCCAACTTGTGGTTGCGCCACTGGTCAATCATGCGCACTTGAACGTGATCAGTATTTCGGGAGAGTAATGTGTCACGGTGGGCACTTTTATTTTCACCCAATGCGTAATGGCTCTCGCGTAAACACACTTCTTGTCTCCTCGTTGGCAAGCGGACTGTCGCGTGTGTAATCGCTGCTTCACAAATGCGTGTCAACTACTCGAACATCCTTGATCATTTTTCGGCGCTTCCTTTGCTGTAAAGAGACAAAAATAGCTCTGTTTCCCAGAATGCAACACACACACACACACACACACACACACACACACACACACACACACACACAGCTTGTGTTGCTCAGTGGCGGCCAACCAACAATAAATCATCAAACTAAAGCCACTTGGATGAGACAGACAAGTGCAATTTAAATGCATTAAAAAAAATAAACCTTTGACATTTCCCTGAAAGTCCCTATTAATATGGGCTATCTTTAGACTGTCAGAGTATTTTCGTCTCAGCTACTATGGATAAAAGTATGGGTACCAAAAGTAAGAAGCATACAAAACGTCAACGAATGACTCGAGGGCTTTAAGCCAACGTTTGACTGATAATTTGATTTATTAAGACACTGGTTGGCAGGGACGTGCTGGGACCAAAATTCGGCCCGGGAATAGTTGACGATAGCGGCCGTCCCTTGCCAAAAAATTTCTAAAAATTCCAGATGGCCATCCCGCCACTTCCGGTTGGTGTGCTCTCGCAAGGCGTGTGTCAAGACAATGTCAAGTCGCAACAGAGCCATTAAACTATATCTTATTCGACTGGATATGTACTCTTAGTTATTGAGTTTAGTTCAGCCGCTTTTACCCACTACACCGCCATCTGGCGGCCCAACAGCGGTACTGTAATTAAGTCTTTCTTTCTATACACAGCACATAAGCCTAGTTTGAAGTACAGTACTGTAGAACTAGAAAGATATATTTTCTGAGTGTTTTTCCGAATGCGAAGGTTTGTGTTTTTTCCCACCCTCCAGGCTGAGGTTCCCATCGGATCTGGACGAGCTTCGGGAGCTCGCCGAGATGCTCAAGTTTTACAAGCAGGAGCACCATGGCTACGTTCTGCTGCTCTTCTGCAGCGCGTACCTCTACAAGCAATCCTTCGCCATTCCCGGATCCTCCTTCCTGGTGAGACACTTGCCCCCCTTTCATGCCGACCGTCAAAGCCAGCTTACTTCTCCGTTCCATTTATTGTTTCCCGTTTCAGAACATGCTGGCCGGCGCCATATTTGGACCCTGGGAGGGCCTGGCGTTGGCGTGCCTGCTCACCACCACGGGCTCAACGTTCTGCTACCTGCTGTCGTCCACCTTCGGGAAGCAGCATGTGGTTCGCATCTTCCCGGATAAAGTGGCGCTATTGCAGAGGAAGGTATGGTCATTTTTTTTTTTTTTTGGTTATTTGTTGCTGGGTAGACTTAATGGATCATTTCAGAGTGTGTGCCATGAATATTCAACCCCGAAGGCCAGTTTCACTGAGCAACATGAAATTTGGTAGGCATGTCTATCATGACAATACCCACAAAAATGTCTTAAAAGACAAAAGAAGTTCACCATTTCGGTTTGAAGCAGCCATTTTAGGGTCATTTTGGCCATTTAAAGGGGTCATGGAAAGACAATGTATTTTTCGACTGGAATGGTTTTTAAAATACAGCACCTGAAGCCAGTCTCACTCATCTACATTAAATTTGGTAGACATGCGTATCATGAGTAAACCCAGCCAAAAGTGTCCAGAAGCTTTGTCTGGAAAAAACATGGGAAGTAAGCGATTTTGTTAGGCTAATTTTTCACAATTACAAACACTATGAAGACTAACTTCTCAAGCCCTAATATTTGGAAAATTCAGCCCCTGAGCCCTTTTTTTGGGAGGGAGGGGGGGGCGCTTTTTTTCCAGAGGTTCTTCAAGGACAAACTCGCACAGAAAGAGCTCAATATCATCAACATTGTGCTTGTCTTTACGTCCATATTCCTTCCGCTTTCCCATCTCTTCCTGCTCTGACAGGTAGAGGAAAACCGTAGCAGCCTGTTCTTTTTCCTCCTCTTCCTGCGCTTCTTCCCCATGACTCCTAACTGGTTCCTTAACATCACCTGTCCCGTCCTCAACATCCCCATCTCCATCTTCTTCTTCTCCGTATTCATCGGTAAGACTCCCCCCCACCTGTTTTTTTTGTTTCTCGACACAGCACAACCCGCCGATGCACAGCCTGCTAAAAAGAGTTTGCCTTCCCAGGTTTGATACCCTACAATTTCATCTGCGTGCGGACGGGCGCCATCCTCTCAGAGATCCACTCTCTGGATGATATCTTCTCATGGGCCACGCTAGCCCAGCTGTTGGCCATCGCGCTGGCGGCGCTGGTGCCCGGCGCACTTATAAAACGCTACGGGCAAACTCACCTCAAGGTGAAGGACATGGACGGTACGCAGTACGGCAATCGGAAGAGGCAATGAGG